CTCCGAATACGTTTTAGTCTCTTTCTTTCATTATTTTGCCCCTTTTCCGCTGTTTTCATTTTATTTTTTTATAAACTAATTTACTCACTCGCTTACTCACACACACACTCTCTCTCTCTCTCTCTCTCTCTCTCTCTCTATATATATATATATATATATATATATATATATATATATACATAAATTTTTTATAACAAATTTATAAATAAACAATAATTTTTTCTAACTTATTAAAAATAAAAAATAAGTTATTTTTTATCTTTGAACTTACTTTCACATTTATGGATGTCACTATTCGTTTCCTATTCTTATTATCCATCTTTAATATCTTTCATTTCTTTGAATTCTGATATGCTTTTCATTGAATTTTTCATTTTAACACCATTGTACGTCAATATGTAAATATATATTTTGCTGGGGATATACAATTAATTTATTTATTTCTATCCAATATAGATTTATGAACACCTAATACATGTGTACTTATACCTACGGTAGTAGTCAAATTGGAAATTTGTCTTAACTGCGTAACATATAATAGAAACAAACATCCGGGATCATTAAAATATAGTATCTTAGTATTGATTATAAAATAATAATAAAATTTTTTTAATATTTTAAGATATTAACTATTTATTATTTGATTAAATAGTTATTTCATTCAAATTTATAATGTATTTTTTAAAGATTTTATTTATAATTTTGTTGCAGTACTTTTTCATATATATTAATTAATAGATTGGACATTGATAAGTTATTTAAAAAAGAAATATAAAGGATAGTTATGAATATAAGTCCTTATTTATTCGAATAATAGTTTAATTTTATTTCTAAAATACGGTTAAACTTAATAGATTAGCAAACAATTTTAATAATAAAATTAATTTTTTTATTTTTCTGTTATGAATCTGTATTTTTTATTTAATTATTAAATTTTCAATCGTACATACTTTATTTTCTATTTATTGAAAAGTAATAAATTTTGTAATGATTTGATTTAATTTCATAAATATATTATATTTATAAGTACAAAATACAAGGCTTTAGAGATAAGAAATATAGAATTGTTTAAAATTAATATCGATGCAAATAATATTAATTTTTATTATTCATTATGCATATTGCTAATATATTATGCAATTACTATTCATACTTGAATACATATTTTTAATATATTATAGCTTAAATAATGGAGATGAAGAAGATTTTTTTAATTTAATTTAAGCCATTTTTAAAAGAAGTTTATTTAAACAGAAAATTGTAAGAAATGTATTCAGAAATGTAATGGAAATAGCTGCATGGAATATCGAGTAATTGAAAGCCATTTCTTAGAACTGAGAATAAGGTGAAAAGGGCTCAATGTCTATTTAATTACTTATTTAGAGTACATATAAAGTGGCAGAAAGCATTCTTCTTTCTTAAATTTTTTCATTTTATTATCTGAATAAATGATATATATATGTGTATATATATATATATATATATATATATATATATATATATATATATATATATTTTTTTTTTAAATACTTTCTCCATAAAAAAATATTCTTTAGTTTAACAGTTGATGTTTTTTCTTAAAATAAAGAGTTTTTATTACATATGCTTATAAATACTATAAAATTTTAAACAATTAGTTTTTTATAATAAACGTTTAATATAATAGTTTGGTTCAAATGTGTATTAACATTTAAATTGAATTTTTTTAGTTTTCAAAAGTATTATAATATTTTATAAAAAATATTTGTATGTATATATATATATATATATATTTAATTATTTATTTATAAATATAAATATATTTAATATATAACACATAATTATGTAGGAAAAAAATCATTCAATTTTTAAGAGAAGTTCATGTTGTTACATTACTAATAATTTTAATATTAGTGGTATATTAGGATTATACTAGAATATTTAGAATTACATTAATAAATGTGATAATAAGATATTGTAGTTATATTATAATTTTCCTCATTTTTTTTTTGTTGAAAATTTCAAATTTTTAACATCGTAATGAAATAATTCGAGTTTCGTTATGAACTTTGAAGTTTATTCAACTCAACTTTCTCAGGACTAATTAGATTATATATTGTTTCTATTAATGAATAATATATTATTCAAAGTAATGAAGTTTTAATTTTTAATTTTATAAGATAGACCACGGAGATTGAATTTTTATAATATTTAAGAATATTAAATGTTTAAGTTTCGAAATTCAAATTTCTTTACTATATAATTTTAAATTATGCAACTTTAATGTATGCAAAGAAGATCACGAACTCGGTGTCAATGGTCGCGACACCATTTTACAACGGATAGGATATCCTGGGTCATCGGATCATCCTTTCTTTCTTGCATAAGCTTCCGTTGTCTGAATAGTAGTCAAGTATTTAAAAAAGTAAAAATCTCGGAAACAGAAAAGTAAAAAGTTTTGAAAGTTAAAGATAAAACGACGTTCATCTTGTTTCAAGATGAATTGTAATCGAAATATACTTTAGTATTTTAATGTAAGAAGTATGAGTATCACAAATGACTATAATTGAAACATTGATAATGTGTGCGCTATAATCGGCTTAATATGTTAGATATCGATTGTCAAGTAAGCAATATTGGGATTAATTCCGGAGCAATAAGAGGATTCATTACTCTGAGACGATGTTGTACGTGTAATCAATAAAAAAAAAAACATCGGCTCGAGGCAACGCTTTCTGGTATAATATATTATAAGATCGATTCAGGTATTAATATCAGCAAATTTTTTAGACAGGATCGTGTGTACGAGTGTGCACCGAGCACCAGCATTTCTAAGACACACTTTTTTTTATAATAATAGAGGAATTTTCCGTAAGAAGACTCAATACATAGTTAAAGTCATGCATTTATAATCGTATCCATATAGTCGGTGCTTTACACTCGTGTTTACCACTTTGTTACTACAATTAAATTTATCTCTATAAATGATTCCTTATTATTAGTACCTCATATAATTACTATAATAACATCTTTCATTTTTATGTGCAAACATATAATAATCTAAGAAAAATGTAGGATAATATTTCATATAATTTAGAAGATTAGAATTATAAAAAACTTAATGCTAACTTAATAAAAATAGCATATAAATTCTAATACAATTTTCACACATCTCCATAAAAATTTATTATTCAAATCATAGAATAATATCTGTACATTAGTTTCATATTGATTCCGCCAGTTCTATCTTTAATTTAAACAAGAAATTAATATATAATACATATTTCAATTACAATACATATTTCACATATTAACATAAGTGAAATGCTAGTGAAATTAAAAAAGTTTTACCTACTGTTTCTAAGTATACACCTTTAAAGCCATTATGCTAGACAAAAATTATCACATAATAGATTCAACGTCTTAATTTATAAATACTTTTAATAAAGAAACTTTAAATACACGAGCTCATAAGCATAATGGCAAATTTCAATTTTTTTCAAAACTTCACACTTTCAAAATTTTATCATAAAAATAGATTCTGATAGTATGAAAATTTTTTCATAAAAGGTAGTTGAAAATTCATAAAAACCGTGAAAATGTCATAATCATAATTTAAACATTTAAGGTTCCAATAATTGGTTTTAACGAATGATAATCTTTAGATAATTATGAAAAGTTGAATTTATTATATAAAAAATTAAATTTTGTCTAAATTCACAAATGGAATTATTGATTTTATGAAATATATATAAGCTGAATAATTCATTCCCTCCGTATTCGTTAAATAACAAATAGAAATATAATTGTAAAATATATGATTATGAACTGTATTTTGAAATTCTACATTTTATAATATAAATTATTCAAACTGCAATTATAAGTAATCGTAATTTCATCTATATACAGAATAATAATAATAATAATAATAATAATAATAATAATAATAATAATATAAACAGATGAAATTTTTTGTTATCGTACTTCCTAAAAACATTGCTATCTCTAAATTTCGATTCTTTTATTTCAATAGAATTTATCAATGCTAAAAAATTTAAGAATAATAATAGTAGTAAACGAATTAAAAAATTTTATAAATATAATCCTATTTTATAGAATTTAAGTTAAATTTAAATTATTTATTAGAATGTAAAATGAGTAGAATACACCAAAAATCATAAATATATTGGTAGTAATATTGATTCTGTTTATGTTCATACCTTTTCAAATTCAAATATATAAGAACTTTACATCTGTAATATCTTATCTATTAAAAAATCATGGATGAATATATAATAATTTTTTTATTATAATATAAATTGTTGATTTAATTAGACTTTATAATTAGCTGCTTATTATTTCTTTACTGTTTAAGTTACACAAGTAAAAATCATTATAAAAGCCTACAAAAAAAAAGTTATCAATTGATTTCGAATAAGCATATTAATCTTGAAAATACAAATTTGATAAAACATTTAGATATATAAATTAGAATGGCATCTATTTTGAAACAAATGAAATTATGTAAATTAATTTATTTTTGAGCTTATAAAATATAATTTTTATAATTACTTATTACTTGTTCACATTTTTCAAGTTTTCTGAATATTAAGTCAGCGGTTTTAATCGATAACTGCTATGTATTCACTAAATTTCAAAATTTATTTTAACATTCGTGAAGGTAAATATTATCAAATTCATATAGAAATTGCATTAAATGTTATAAATAGCATTAAAAGCTTATAAACTAGCTTAAAGCATATTATTACAAGGGAATAAATGATTAACTCTGTGGAATAAATTTATACTTTTTTTTTTAGAAAAAGTAAATTAATAAAGAAATACGCATTAGAAAAGTAATTTAATATCATTATAATTCCAATTTACCTTACAAGACATGTTATTTTAATAGATACAATGGTATCATTCAAATGGAATTCAGTAAAATACAATTAGAAAGTGATTTTGTACGATGATGTTCAAGTGGCAATTATGAATGATTATTTATTAGATTTTCTTAGCATTCGCTGTTGCAGACGGTGGTGGAAGTCTGCCAAAAGAAACGACAATGTACATTCAACACAAGTCCAAAAATGAGTGACCCATGTCCAGATATGCCGAAATACATCGAGGTTGTGTACAAGTGCCGTCCCTGTAAGTACATAAATCAAAATTAAATAGGATTATAATGCGTATAAACAAAAAACATATATATATATATATATATATATATATATATATATCCAGTAATTTCATAAGTGAAAATATACAGTTGAAATAATTTTTATAATTGAAAAATATTATTTATATGTAGCTACGTATGTGTGCGTGCGGGTATATTCAAATTGTCTTCGCTATACCGTAGAATATTCTCATTCTCTAACGCATGTATAACGTCATTGATGCTAAACCAGAAAGTCTCACATCACTTTTGCATCGAATAGGCCATCAAATATGGTAGCTTTTGATCGATCCTAATTACGGAAGTTAAACGTTGCGAGGGTGACAACGGCGCTTTTTTTATAACATATTTCAGAAGAAAAAGGACCTCGTAGATGTACGTAAATTGACGAATTTTTGTAGATTATGCAAGTCGAATGTAAGAAGAACTGATCGAGGAACTGAAAGGATTTTCTGAGAAGAGTTTATGAGGATATCTAGGCTTGATGGACGTATGCATTAATACCGGTGGTATTTTGATGATCTTGAAGACCCATATTTTATAGACTAAGGAGAAATAAGAAGAAAAATATAAGTTATATTTTAAGTGACTATAATATACAATTCCATATTTTAAGATGAAAGATTTTAAATTTTAAAAAATGAATGTAAGATAAACTTTACTATTATAACATATACAAATTACATAAAAAATCCATTTTCCAGATATCATATTTAGCTTCACTATTGCACATATCAATTAATCAAATATACCTTTTCATTCTCATTATAAATAATACAAAATCAAGTATAAATTTAATTCTTAAAAAAATTGATTTTATAAGTTTGTTTATTGAAAATATATACTTTACTTCATGAAGTTTATGATATTTAAATGCTTTGTTAAAATGTAATATTGGAGAAATGCATAAAATTATCAATTGTTGTATAAAAAAAAATATATATATATCATCATACTTTTAAACAAATAATCAAATTATATATGTGTATTCAATATATTTGAATTTTTTACTTTCATTTTGTTACATGTTTATATTATATAGGCGAAATAATATATTTATGTAGCGCAAGTTTCGATTCTTGTAGTGAACTTTTTTTTTTTATAGAATTTTAATATTTTAAATTAATTTTAAACACTTTGTACTACGCAATTATAAAAGCAATACAATTTATAATTCATCATTATTATGCCAAGTACATACTCAAGTTTTTCATCATTTTATATTTTAATCGTAACCTCTTTATATATTAATGTTAATCAATCATATTTGGCTAAAATTTGGTACATATGTGCAAAAATCTAATGAACTGAATTACTATGAATTAGTTTTCATTTGCGTTAATTTATAAATTTAATCGCAAATTAACAAATAGAGTCTTTCATGTATTATTGTGAACTTATCGGCCACTTTAAAAGGTTTTCTAATATTTTTCTAATTATATAATGAATTATACCTTAAAGTATTTATAATTTTTTATAAATATTTATGGCATATAAGATATACTGACCGTAATATTTAACTAATTACGACAAATTAGCATTCTACTTTTTAAGAGTAACAATAAATACATCAAATTTTGCATTGATTTGTATTTGAATGGATTATATTTCGTATATTGCTAGTCAATAGGGATTTTTAGGTATCTTAATAAAATTGTTTATATATGTATCATTATCATGCCATCAATATTATTAATACAATGAATTATTGCTGATAATCTTAAATTTGTGCTATCAGTAGGAATCGTATGTTGTATTATTGACATAATAAGCAAGACAATTATATTATATATTAGAAGTTAAATTTAAATAAGTTTGGTCCTGCAAGTTTAAATTATATATATGTATGGGAACTGAAAATAATCCTGGCCCCTTGAAAATTCGTGGAATTCTGACTATGTAAGTCGCGTGTCGCAATTTATAACTCGACAGTGGGGTGGAGCTGGGTCAATATGGTAGGTATGAAAATGTATGGTTGTGTTAAAAATATGTGAGTTTAGACAGAGATATAAAAAAATAATGCGGTCAGTAGATTTTCTAGAAGTTTGGCAACTTTATTTATATAAGAAAAGTATTTTTAATTTATAATCGTTAATCAATTTCCATAATTTTTAATAATTACTTATCACGTTACATACAGATTTTTCTACAATTTATTATCACAATAATTTAATGTATGTAAAATTTAATTATTACGTTTAATTAAAGGCTTGTATAACATTTAGGGAAGGGTGTAGGTCAATTTATTTGTTTGAACTGGAGATTTACTTTTAGTAATGTTTGTTTCCAAAGTGTTTCATTAAATAAGAAAATCTTAAAGATTTTCTGATTTTGTTTTCGGTTGTTGTAGTTTAAAAAATTAAATTTATTTATTATTTTATTGTCGTTTTATTATATTCTCTTATATCATTTCAAATCAGCTTTTAAAAATATATTATTTATTTACTTAGCACTGATAGAATTTCATACATTTGTGATGTCAAAAAATATGAATTATGCAATCATAATAATTATTATTTAAATATTTTATAAATTTAGTTAATATCTAAGGAACAAATGAATTTAGGATTTATCATTAGTTACCATGAGTTTAATAAATAAATTAAATTTATTATAATAAAAGATATAACGAAAAATGAAATAAATATCTTGAAAATAATCATAAGTAAAAGATTTTTAAATAATAATTTTTAATTTCACCAAATTTACAAAATCATAAATAATAAGTGAGTTAAAAATTTTCTAGAATATTTTTTTGCTCATTTAAAAATTTTAATATCATAGCTTAATTCAATTACTTTAAATTTTTTGTTTTAACGGCACGTTTATTTATTGCTACTTGAAAGACCTTTCTAATAGATCTATCGCATTACCATGAAATATAAGGATGATATTTATATATTATTAATAAGTTGTATTACAGACTTATTTGAAGTGCGTCGCGTGTCTATGAAAAATGAACCTACGACAAAATCTCATATGGCGCGGGAGCTGCGGCTTATACATAATTTATAACTCACACGTATTTGTCGTCACTCGTACTATGTAGATGACTAATTATACATCATACATCATTTCTCTGTTGCTTTCAGGATATTTTCGAAATTTTATAGAAAATATTCATTTGGTACATTAAAGTTTATTTCTTTCAATTTCTGAAAGTATAGAGTAGGTTATAGTAGTTATAGAAATTCGTATTATAAAATTTGATTTTAGCTGGATATCGTTATTATTTATGTTTAAATAATGCAATTCATTGTTAAATATTTATAATCTTTAATTCTAAATCCCAATACAAATTTATAAAAATAATAAAATAATTTTATACGAACTTTGCGTTTGTTGTAGTCTCAAAATTTCATATATAATATTTAGTTTCATAATTGAACATCTCTAATACTTCTAGATCTTATAATTTTATATAATCAAGATTATACTATCTGTGAGTCCGTATGCGTACATAGAGAATAATTAAGGAATTTAATTCTTACGCAATTTAATTATAAGTAATATTAATTTTTTACATAATTATTATCATTGGTTGATATTTCGAGTTTTACGTATATTATTTTATCACTTGTAATTGAGTTGACGTCGTATAACGAAAATGAAAAAAAGCAAATATAGTTCTTTATTAAGAGGCATAACAAGCGGGACCGCGTAAATTTATGATTGCTAATAAATAATTAGAAACTTGAGCCGATGAGTGGCATGGAAAAATTAATATTATCTTTTATTTATGTACACTTTCAAATGAAACTTAACCAAGATTTTCATACGATTTTATTGATTTATGGAATGACGGAGGAGCAATAACTATAAAGTTTATTACTATTTTTATATACTTGAATACTTATAATGTTAATTTATTGTTCTTAACAAGATCTAATCATGAAAATGGCATATATTTTTCCGTATGATAAGATAAGATAATTTTTTGCTTCTGTACAAGATATATTTAAACGAAGCAAGATGGAATTAAACAAAGAAGAATGAAATGCTTTTAATAAAACAGAATTATGAAGTTAGGCAAAATTAAAAGCTTAACTGTTTTCCAAATTAATATCGAACATTAAATTTCCCAATATTTTGTATCTTATGTACGAATATAAACTAACAATCGTCACGAAACAAAAGTATTATAAAATCTGAAAATTCAATCCTTGTAGTCTATGAATCGACACATTTATCAAATCACTTCTTGCAAGATAACGCTTAAACATAATATCTAACTGACACGCCCATGGGTGCTGAATACTTTTTGTTTTATTGTTTCATAGTTCTTGGAATAAGTGCCACGTACGCGCATGCGAATCAGCATTGGCGCGAACCTTAGGTAGCATTATTATTTTCAGACGCGCATTGTACGATACATTACGAAGGATGCGTGTGCAAGCGTCAACTAAGATAGAAAACAGTGAGAGGCATTGCTTTTCCTATTTACACACGAGAGAGCGAAGTTACTGCAGTATAATTAATAATCCTGGCTGCAGCTGACGACAAGATGTCGCGTATTTGTAAGCTGCAGCTGCTGTATAGCGAGTTATTTTTTTTAACATGAAAAGCACGTTGGTTTTACGTGAAGATGACTTCTTTTGAATCGGTGTCTCGTATTCTTCTCTATACTCTTTCATCTTTACGCATTGTACGCACTTTCTTTTTTTTTTTTTTTTTTTTTTTTTTTTTTACATAAGACTCAATTTTCATTAGAGCACTGAAACATAGTTGAGACATAATGATATTTATATCTAAATATGTAAAAATTAATTAGTGAAAATTATGTTCTTTTAATATCTGGTGTATATTTATTTAATTTTTTCAGTTTTCTTAAAAGATCTTATTATTTATTTTTTCAATATCCATGTGCTAATAACAACATTCTTTTTTGAATATAGCCTGAAAAATCTCATTTGTGGTTAATAATCGTTATTATTTAAACGCTTCTACTAAATCACTAAGTCAAAGATAAATTAGATAGATAATAGCGCCAGATGAGATATATGCAATATATCCTTTCATTTCTGATCCTCCACTTCCCTATACCTCGCAGTCAAGCAAACGTAAAAGGTTTGAACGAACTATTCAACAAAACTAGTTAAGGAAGCCAATAATTACGTCTGAATGTTATTGATTGATGAATGAATGTGGCTTAGTCGAGTGTATATTCACGTTATTTCGTGTTACCATCAATTGAATTAACATTGGGAAATTTGCTTCTCACGAACTTTTCCAGCTGCATTCATTCAAGTAATCTTTTGACAATAGACTATCTGTTGCTCTTTAGTTAGAAAGTCAATAATTATGAGACTAGAAATACCGAAAGTGTGTATTTAACAAATATACGGTAGAAATGTGTGAAGTAACTACCTTAGGAATATCTATAAAAATAAACATATTTTAAGCTATCTATTACACAAATCGATTGCTCATAATAAATATGCGTCTGATGATATTATCGTATCGATTCTTAAAATAGCTTTGTGATCAAACAAATAAACACGTAAATTAAATTATTTTCATTTACAAAAGTCATACGTAAAGAAATACATATGAATTTATTAAGGTAGTTCAAATTTTAGTATATAATTTATAAAATAAATGGAATTAATAATATAATATGAATAACAAAGTATTCATTATCGTCACGAATTAAATCAGTCACCTAATAATCACATTGTATTTATAGTTTTATTATAACTGAGTGAAAGTTGTAATAAGATTTTAATTTCATAAAGCTTATTGATATGTAGAGTAAAACTTTCAATTGTATCTTTATGGATTAACTTCTTAATAAAGATAAATCAAAATAAAGAAAATTGAAGGGATTTTAATTAACATTTTTATTATCTATGCAACTATTACGCTTATTAGGAAACAAAATTAAACATTTCGACATAATCGTATAACGAAAGGAACATAATACATTGGAATTAATATAAAAATATTTAATGTATGTAAAGAAATTATAAAAACTGTATATTTCGTATTAAATTGCTAATTAAAATTTCAACATGTAAATTTCTACATGAAAATTGAATAATATTTGTTAACACATAATGTATTTATTATACAATTATTTTATCGTTAAACCTGTACATATATTCTGCTCGCGTTGCTCACCAGGTAATAACTTTGCAATAACGCTAAATTAAAGATCTATCTAAGCCGAGTTTTATCTATTTACAGATGAATTTAGGAGTAAAGTAGCGTGTGAAAACGATGCCATCAATCTTTCGTGCTTCCCAAACTACAGGGTAGCGATCTACAGTGCCTCCTTCGGCAGAACGGAGTACGAATCGCTCCAATGTCCACAGCCCAATGGAGTTAAAGACGAAAGTACGTATTAGCAAGCCTTGCTTCTCAATGTTGATTAATGGCGATATTTTATGACCGACTATTATAAGTCCCAAAGCATTAGGCATTCGATAATTAAATTATGTTCTTTGAAATACATTTTAATATGAAATTCGAATTTTTATGAGATTTTTCAAAATTTATTATTTTATTAAAATACTTTGGTCTATCGATTAACATCACTGAAAATGCTTATAAATTCTTTCTAATAAAAGAAATGTAAATCAAAAGTAAACGGATGTTGAAATCGATTATATATATATATATATATATATATATATATATATTTTTTTTTTTTTTCAAATAATTAAAAGTAACGTTAATGCTGTATGACTTACAAATAAATAACAGTCGACTTATCATAATTTGACTTTTATTGATATTTATACTCTTGAATTTTTATATAAATTACGTATATTTTAACAAAGCCTTTAAGGATGAAACGATTAGTTAAATTTTAAAAATCTGAAAATCAAAACGCTAATGAAAGAAGTTTCATTAATCTCTCTGTCGCCTCCATCGTCTCTTCAGTCAAAAGAAAGAATTTATCAAGAATAGGGTGTCATGAATATCAAAAACTCGAAATAATTAACCAAATGATATTCGAAGTCTTGGATGCCCTACGAAGCTTTAATATTATGAAACAGATGTTAAGAAGATTAAAAAACATTTTTCATTATAAAGTTTTGAAGTTTCCTAAAGCACATTGCTTATTATTTTAACTGAAAACAATCCATAAGATATTCTCGGAAAACTGATTTTTTGTTAATATTTTTCTCACAGAACTTTTTCTCTACTCTTTATACTATTATTGAGTATGTATTAAAAATCTTTTGATGTACTTAAATATCATTATTTTTTTTTTTTTTTTTTTTTTTTTTTTTTTTTTTTAGTTAACGTAGATTTTAATTCTTATTAATCATTATTAGTATTTGACAGTATTTAGTAAATGGTCTTGTTATAATTATTTACTAAGTAATATATTTTTCGTACGTTCTCTATGTATACTTATAGAACGTAAATAAAAGCGGTAATTCATTCATATTATTATTAACTGATTAATAAAAACTCTACAGTTAATGTACACATAGAAATAAATAAAAAAGATTTGGACTATTTTGGATGCACATATTCCGTATTATATAGTTAATGTATGGAGTTTTAAATCCAAAGTTTTAAATAAAAGTATAGTACATTATAATTGTAAAATAGATGATTTATCATCGTTTCATAATTTGACAAGATTTTATTTTTAATCCTATTTGTTCATGAATATTAGAATGGCATGATTATATTTTTGAAGCCCGAATACATTAAATAAGCATTAACTCTCAAATATATTTAAATTATTCAATTCGTTAAATAATTTAAATAGTTCAATTTTAATAATAAAGCATTTCAATAGTTGTAAACAAAATTGCACAGAAAATACGACATTGACATTGACAGTGACATTCACATTCACATTGACATTGACTTTCTAAAGATCAAAGATAATCTTTCAATAGTGACAAGTAATTCGTGAGATATTATACCTTATTTTTGTAAATGAGAAAATATATAATATTATATTAATAAATAAATTTTTATAGCAGATATCGAGAAAAATCAGTGAATTAACGAATAAATATTTTATATCTGATGATAGTAATTTTTTTGGCTTATCAAATGAAAAGTATATGTATAAAAGAAATATAGAGAAATATTGATGGAATAAGTGATGACATGAGATAGAGCGTGTAAAATGAAAGATGGAAAAGGGAAAAAGAGAGAATTAGTGGCAGAGGCCAAGAGAAAAAATACAACAAAAGAGAGTGAAAGCAACAGTCTCTCTCTCTCTCTCTCTCTCTCACACTTCCTGGTACCTTGTAAATAATATAATTATCTTTTTATATATTTAATATAAAAAACGTGGCATTGCATAAAGTATTTGATTTGACAATTGAAATGGTCCATACATTATAATCTTGTTTAATGTAATTTATTATAGTCTTTCCAAAATTTATAACATATTCAAATGAAGCAATATATAGTTTATTTTATTTTTAATATGTAATACAAAAAGAAAACAACATCTGGTGATCGTTCGGTAAGTATCCATTTTTAGAGTCAAACGGTTAAATAAGTAACGCTTTTATTGCATAAGACACTTGTTTTTTATTCAATTTAAAAAATCTTTTCATTTCTTACGCATCACCTTCTTTTATACTTTTACACTGAAATTTGTGGTATAAAACGTGCATATAATTATATATTAGATATAATTTAATTTTATGACAAAAACTACTTTGAGTCTAGATGAATATTAAATATTATTCTGAATATTGACTATTAATATTTTTATCAAATTTAATATTAATATAGATATAATTATATTTGAATAGATATATAGATAACCATAAATTCACAAATTAATAATTTAAAATAAAAATACAAGAGACTTTTTGAAATAAACATATAAATATTAAATACTAATAACCAATATTTTAAAGTTTTTATTTGACCTTTTTTACACTACTATAATTTTTAAACAAAAGAAATATCTTTTTAGTTGAGGAGAGCAATTATTATAAAATCCTTATTTTTAATACAATAATTATCAAAATTGTGATGAAATTAAATAAGTTGTACGGGATTTTTTTTTGGTTTTGCAAAATAATCAATAATGTTATATGAATTAGATTATTAATTAATTAAAAGTATAAATAATTTATAGATATATTTAACACCTATAAGAATCCAGTATTATAAATTTCAATTCTATTATGGATATAAATGATTAAATAATTATATGAATTATGAAATATAGACAAGTCTTTCCGTGTTTATTCGCGAATTTAAATTAATTTTTAAATACAATATGTTTTGATTTTTCTATGAATTTATAAATTTCAATGATAATTAATTATTAATAGATTCTATAAATTACCAATAGGTTAATTATAGGGATAATAGAATGGGATAATAGAGAACCATAAGGATAATAAAATTAATTACCAATTGTTTAATTTTAAATGAAAATAATGTACTCGTATTTCAAAATATTAATTTATATGATATCTAGTGTCAGATATTCTATATTAGGGAAGATTTATCAAAAGATATAACTAAGTCTTTCTCATTATTTACAAATAAACGTCAATGAATTTGTTTCAAAATAAAAATCATATTACGCTATATAATGTATAATTATCAATCATAAAGAATACAATGCCACAGTGATGGAAAAAATATAAAAAATTATTAAAAATAATATATATTTAAAAATATTTATTATTTTATATTTCATGAATATTTTTTTTGGTATATTATTTATAAATGCAAATATAAATAATTTACTGTGAAAAAAACATTTAAAGATTTTTTAATGTACCAAAGTTATATAAAAAATTTAATTAACTAAAATCCATGAAATTTAATGTATTATGTACATTTGGAAAATAGTCAATGTAACATTTTGAAATATAAAATTTTTTTTAATATTTAAAAAACGTACTTTAGTACTTAAATAAATAACGTTGACGGCTGAATATAAAATATATCGCAGTGCTTTAATCAATATTTTAAAATATTATTAAATAATACTCTATGCAAAATATGCTATTTAACTTTATTAAATTATATTTTAATATAATTATGTAAGACATATCGATTCACGTACGACATATTTTATTTTAATTGTAAAAATATTTCTTATTATTTATTTCTAACGTCTTCAATATCTTATGGTAATGCAATAATACGGATATTTTTCCATAAAAATATAATCTTAAATTTTTTTTATTCTTCACAATCTATCGAATATGAAACATTTTGACTAATTTTAAATATACTTTTATAGCTAAACAAGTATTTGTCATTTTCTTTACTTTCTGACCTTACAAAATATTCAAATCGTACAACATTAAAATATTACTACAATATCCAAATTATACTTGATTGCTATACTGTAAGAATTTCAAAAGTGCACGTACATTGCCAATATACTGAAATATAAAAAAAGGATTCGTCATACAAGCCAATGCTTTAACGAAGCTTCAAATAATTTTAATTTTAGCCTGTTTGGCCAGCCATGCGACGGAAAAAGTAATAGATCTATGTCATGGCCGTCGTCACTGCTCGATCGCCGCCAATAGTTCGACATTTGGTGATCCTTGTCGACCTGAAAGCAGAACCTATCTCAAGGTCGTTTACACGTGTGGTAAGTGTTAGATTTATACAATATTTATATCAACATTTCAATTGTCTTTTTATAAACTTGCATTTATCTCATCCAAGCGACTATAAAAACAAGAGACTGAAATTATTAAAACCTAAATGAAAGTAAGCAAAGATAATAATCAGGACTGTCCGACTATAAAACGTACTTTTTTTCCCCTATTGAAAGTGTTAAATTTTGTGCTTATAAATTCTGAAGAAGCTGCAATAGCTTATGGAATTTTTTCTACAGTTTGCTTTAGTATAGGATGTTTCAAAGATTCATTCGATAGTTAAATTATTTGGAAGTAGAGACTTTTAAATAAAGATATTTTACGATATTTCTAAGTTGCAAATAAAAGAAATCTATTTGGAAATGGCATGTACTAGAATTTTTTAGATGTAGTTTCACATTTTTAGTAATTACTTTTGTAAGTATGAAGTAATCATATTTTTAGGGTAAATTATAAAATTTCTTATTTTCTTCGAAACTTCTAACGAATTAATTTGATTAGTGAGTGAAGGTTAATAAAATTGAAAATAAATTAATATATATTAATATATAAATTTACACATCATTATATTATGTATACTCATATATTAATTATATTTAGTAGTTTGGTATATTTATTGTTTAATATTTTTAGGTATTACATTATTTAATGAGGTTTCTAGTATAAATTCTAGGAAAAATAGTGATTTAAAAATTATAACGTAATATAAATAATTTTCTTTCTTGTTCAAAATGATATTTTTAATTTCTAATTCTAGGAAACAACTAATTTTAGATTGATTTTATCCAAATTTATTTAAAAGTAATTTAGCATTTATGTATTGAAATATAATGACTATTAATGATACTTTCATATTTATGTTACAATATATATTTTAAGACAGATATTTTTTAATAACAAAAGAATACGGTTATTCGACTATAATAAACATAACTTGAAAAGTTATTCCTACAAAAATGATAGAACTTTTACCACATGTACATTTGTTTATATTTTTTAAGGAAATTATTAACTACAATTATAATTTTATTTTATTTTATATTGCATTATAAGCAATTATATTATAAAAATTTTGAATTTCATACTTTATTATTAAAGCCTTATAGATGAATTTAGCATGGATACGTGAAATTTTAAAGTCGTTAGACTAGTACTACTGTTCGAATACAATTTGATACTTAACCGAATACCTTTCGCCTGATTTTAAAAATTTTTTCTTTTGGACATTATATATCTGTACTATTCCTTGTAATTCAAATATATTAATTTTAAATTTTCTGCTGGATATTTCGCAATGACGAATCAAGAGACGATTACACTTGCAAAGCAAGCGCTGCTTTCGGCTCTGTCTGCTTCTCTACAATTCCTATGAATGTGAGATTTTTCAAAGATAGCATTGGTCTTCATACGTCATATGTTATATGAAGCGCTAAAGGATAACTGGGTTAAGTACCGTTTTAAGATTCAGTCCAATAATTTTCAAGATGGAGTTTTAAATTCATTTTGAATTGGTTAAAAAAAGCAAAATCTCTACCACAATCTACTTTCTTTGGCAACATTTTTTGTTCAGATTTATTCGCCTAAGTAGTATTATATTCAGAATAAATTTATAAATTTTGCTATATACTTAATTTGAATTAAAAGAAAATATGATTTTTGAAATGTCTTTTTAATATTATCAATATTAAAATTACATTACAACTATTATATTTATAAATATCTTTGTTTTATGTATATTGAGGAATGTACATATGTAAAAATTCATGAAATTTTATTGAAGGTTGTTTCTACTAAGAATTACTACCACATAATATATATATATACATAGAAAATTTCCTACAATACTTTATATTTAAAATTTAAAACTTTTGTTATTATATTTTGTAAGGTAAAATAGTAGAAATTGTATCTTTTATTAGAATTATTTTTATTCTAATATTAACTTATCCACCACAACAAAAGCTTTTATATTTTCTCAGTAAAAGAATTAAAACAAAATCCCCGAGTATTTACCGAGTGCGTTGTTTGAAATAATAGATCAAATTCTATGTTTATTTTTCTTTTATAAATTCTATCATGCATTTGCAATATATAAGGTAAAAGCATTCAGTTCTCTGAAGCATTCATATCTCTTTATAATACTAATAGTATACTGGTTATATTCAATAAACAAATGAAAAAATAAAACTATGCACGTATTGTATTCTACATTTAATCTATGTGAAGTATTTTGTAAAATTAAGATTTGGTAAAATTTCTATATACATTAAATAAACTTAATCTTAATTTTGTAGCGTTCGTTAAAATGAAAATTTATCTACCGCGAACAATTCCTTTGTTATACGAATCATAAATTATTGTAATTGTAAAAATAATAAATATATTAATAAAAATATTTAAATGAACCGTTATTTCTATAAAGTTTTATTTTCAGTGAAAAACATTATTTGAAAAAGTAAAACTTCCTATTAGTTTAAAGGGAGCAGTTATCTCAAGAAAAATTTTGTCCATTAGAATTGTAAGTAAAAAAACTTATTTTTTTATGTAATGAAAACTTCCTCTCCTTATATGAGTCATGTACATAGTACATATAATAAGTATATCATATTTTCAAGTAAAATATGAGTATAATTTTATTTGAAAAATAATATAGTTCAAGTTACTTATTTTAGTAAGCCTATAAGCACAGAAGCAACGGTAATGATGTAATATTATTATTATACATTATTATTACTAGACTACTGATATCAATAATACTATAAACTTTTTTATTTTCTTTATTATAATGCAGAAGAATGACTTTCCCTTGATTATTGATGGATAATGTATCATTGATATTCTTTTAGAATGCTATGTATATAACAATTTTATTAAAATTTTTATTGAATGAAAATTCATAACAATGTCAATAAGATATCTGAGAAACTACGTCGATGTAAATAATAAAGTAACTATTTTATTTTTCATTTGATTTATTCAAATTTTAATCAATGTTATGCCTATTGTATTTTCATTAGTCATTAATTTGAATTACAATTTATTTGACTTATAGTTTACTTATCATATGTCACCCAAGAAAATCCACAGATGAAGATTATGAATTATATTGTCATCAAGTATTCACAAATTAAAAAATAGCGTAATCTGCCGAACGATAAATGAAGCATATGTCTTTGTTTGAAGCTTCATATGAAAATCTATACTCTTACAAGTGACGTCAACTAATCTTGGCGATAGAAAGCTCTACTCGATCCTTTTAATGACCCAACGTCATTGCCATAGCGAGCCCAAGTAGTACACTTCCTGGCTTTGATACGCCAGGTAATCTCATTCCCTTTCTTCTCTCGCCATCACTTCTAATCCTTCCACTAAAGCTTTCAACATTGGTGCACTGACCCGGAATAATAATCAAGAACATCCTCAAAGTGTAATTGGATCCACATCAACTAGCCAGACTTAGAGTGAAAGAGTGGAAAGAAGAGGTGTTTCTTTTTCGTACAATCTAAGAACTTTTCAAAGGCTTCTAAACGCAAAGCTTATCGATAAATTCTTGGCATAGCTCGTTTCAATGTTGCGGTGATAGCGAAATTTTGTTCGTACGATCGTATGGTGATCTAGATTTTTTAACACATATGGCATAATTGCTTTCTACGTTTCTGTTAAAATCAATGACTATTTTATTAAATAATAACTTATATAATAACTACTTAGTTATATTTTGAATTCTCCGTATTTTAGATTTACGCTAACCATGTGATTGTAGTTTTTTTTCGCCAATGATTAGTGTTCTTGTATTTAAATAAACACAAATATTAATTTTTATAAAGTTTTTCGATAAACGGGACTTATAAAATTGAGATAGGTAGAACAAAATATTCGAATATTTTATTATATTATTTTTATAATTTAATATTTAAAAATTTTCACTATTTACTTACGAATTATGTGGATATTTACTTAATCTGGAATTATGATCAAGGAACTTTTCAATACATATCAATAAATTTTATATAGGTGTTTGAAATAATTACAACAATTTTTTACTAAACTAAGTTTATTTCCGTTTACTAATCAGATAAATCACTTTTTAAAATAGTTTCTATAATATTAAGCTTTTATTGTTGAAATAATTTTAAGAATTAAATATTATATTGATAAAAATTCGCTACAAAACTCATTTAATATAATCTAATAATGAGGTTGAAATGAAATGTTTTTTATTTCATTCTTGTTTAACTAATAATGATTGTTTTAAGAAATATTTTACTTACTAAATTATAAACAGTTTTTGTGTATAATATTAATGGTCCATTTTATCCGTTAAATAATTGTTGAAAAGTATCAATTATGTTGAAAAATGGAATTTAAACATATATATTTATGTGCCTTTGTAAAATAAAAGAAAATTATTTCAAAGTGCTTTTATGCTTCAAAAATGTTCATTTATATTTTTTTATTTTTTTCTTTGTTTTTTTTTTTTGTTTCTGCAAAAATAGTATTCTAATGGTCGATTGCAAATTTACCTTTGGTCAGAATAAAAAATTTGAAAATAGCATTTTATGGTACAAGACGTGAAGTACTTGCAAACTTTGTGCTTCTTTGTAGAATAGTCCTCACCTCAATCATATTTCATGCTCGACAACGATAAACGGATTTTCTCTCTTGAACAACTCTCTTTTCGCCATTTTTCT